ATGCCGTTTAAGAAAATATTATTTATATTACAAAATTTCATCAGATGAACTATGTCAGTACTTTGTAGAGCTTTGTTTTTTGTGACAACTATTTTGCAATAGCTGTTAAAACTACAAATGGTACAAATAATTTGGATTCTGCATTGCGTCAATTTGAAGATCATATATTCATTCAGCAAAGTTTCTATTGCTTATGAATAATGTTCAACAAAATGTTTCTGGGAGGAGAGATTATGCAAAATTCTTGAGGGAATTTATCAATCACTGATGGAGATGTCAACTGAGAGAACACTTCAAGCAGAAGCTGAAGCACATGGTATGGATCATTATACCATTTTACATCTCAAAGAGGAAGGCCAAGATAAGAGATAAAAACACATTTCATTTTCACTAAGTATATTAAGAAGATATATGTGCAAGTTTCATTTTATATATGCAAGTTTCATTTTATATATTTAAGTTTCATGCTATATCTGCAAACATTGCCACTTTTTGTTTCCCGCCCGCCATCGTGATGCCTTTAAAAGCTTCACACTGTCGTATTAATTGACCAAGATGTTCAATATAGGGCAAAAAGGAAGGAAGGGAGAGATCGGGCAGCCCTCTCCAGGATGAAAGAATCCGAAAGATCCCCATTTATCTTTATGCAGGCCCTTGTCTTGTTGTACAGAGTCTTTATTAAAATTATAAAATTGGGCTTGAAACCAAATTTTTCCAGTGCTTTGTAAAGAAATCACCATCTAACTGAGTTGAAAGCCTTCTCAGCATCTAATCCCACGACCATACCCTTGATTTTGTCCCTAGCTGTTTGTTCTAGTGCATGTAGTGATCTTCTTATATTCTCAAAAGTTTGTCTTTGCTGAATAAAACCAGTTTGGTCTTTTCTTACCTTTAATGTAGGCAGTGCCAAAGAGACTTGTAAAACCAAAGAAACCAAGTCTCCAAAGCCTGAAAGCCTGTGAGCAGTCATTCAAACCAAAGATCTGAAGCAACGGCACCATGAAGCTATCCACCTACCTCCTCTGCCATCCACCAAAAATGTCGGTGACCAACAGGTATGAGGTATGATTTTAGAAAAGCTTGCCATTACAAAATTGTGTGCTCCAGGCCTTGTCTTTTGTCGCAAGCATTGCATACACAGTGCAAAAAGTACTCTAGTCTTAAGTTATTTAAAGTAACTAGTGTGTCATACTTTGAAAAAAAGAGGCTGCTAGAAAGAATTTGAGGAATTTGTAACCAGATCTTTGAAATTTTGTGATCATGGTAGCATATTTTACAATAAAAAACAATATAGTGCTGTAGTGCATCAGTAAACAATATATATAGTCTACAGTGATAAGGTAGTTCCAAGTATGTCTAAAGCAAATTTCTGTCATAATTGCCACTATAACTGGAACACGTACCTTCTCCCTTCCTTTCTCAGCCCTTAAAGGATGTGATGTCAACCCCTCCTCTCCTCAGATGGCTGTTTCCCATACAGCGGGACCCTACCTTCAAATGTCAACTTCACGAGTACATCAGTACTGACCTCGACAGTCAAGCTGTGATTTTGCAGTGTGATGATGATGATGATGATGCAGTATTTCTAACTGTGAAGCAGTGGGAAAATATCCAGTGCAAGCTGCTATGCATCCCCTTCTTTGCACGCTACAGACTATGGAAACCCTTCGATGTCTGGCACAAAAATGTTTGTGCCAAAAAGATAACTTTGGCCATGGAGTCACTATAAAAAAAATTGTGTTTTGTATTTCTATTTTCAGATGCATTGAAAAATTGTCAGATTTTTGGATATGATTGAACTATTCTGGTTATGTTGAATTTTAATTTGAAATTAACATGGGATTTTATTTGTATATTTGTATGTTTTTATATGTGTCTGGAAGGCATATATAAATAGGCAATAAATATGAAAACACACCCTCTTTGAAAGTCAACCTAAAAAATGACGTCTACCTGCAAAGTATCAAGCAAAGCATCCGGGTGGTTTTACTGCATTGTTTTCCTTAGATGCCTGACAGCTTTGAATTGCCTGATGTATTTTTCTCCTTCAAAAACCATTCCAGATTGTATTTGCTGCTGCGAACGTGTACTCACACATGTTTGAGCACTTTCTGAGAATCTATAAGGAGAATGAAAGTTTGGATTTGGATGCAGTGCTTATTAACTTATTACTTATTCCATTGAAATTTACATTTTTTGTCATTATAGTTTTGTTTTTTGTTGTTTTTTTCCTACATTTTACTGTGGATTGTTTTTGGAAATTTGGAAAGTTTTTGACCATAAAATGTGATTTAAGGTCATCAGTCACACGCTCACCCAACTGAGGCCATAATCACTGACGTTCGTGAGGCCAAAGTTGAAGGACAGATCAGTCCCTCTACTACAGCTCAGCGGGCTGACTTTCTCACATTTCTGGATGAGATTGAGGAGACGGTGAGATGTTCCTGTTTAACAATTAAATGTGATAAACCAACAAAACACAGCAGCTTGTTTTCTTTTTCCTCAGCTTTCTTTTTCTGATTTACTCGACTCCATATTTCCATTTCTCGTTTTGCTAATAAAGAGCTGAAATCAGTTTGCAAAATGTACGATCTGATCAACGTGCACTCAGTCCCCACACCACCAGAAATTCTTGCTATGCTTAAACTCTGTGATGACTTGTTAGATGATATCATGTGAAAGGAAGCGGAAGAATGGGATGCTACTATGAAAAGGTTTTGCAGCTACCTGAAGAAGGATATAAAAGAACTCAAACAGGAGAACATGGAAATCCGGTTTAAATTGCAGGTATGAGAAGATGATTGTTTTATTTTTAATTTTGTTGTTCTATTTCTATTTAGTAATTTTAACTAAAGCATAATTAAACTATATTTGGTATAATTAAAAGCTCGTGCATTTTAATGTGCAGGATCCACAAATTCTAGACATCAGTGCTGATTCATCACAAGTGCATCTGCTGTTGGGGGAGATCCAGATTTCCATAGAAAAGCCACAGGCCAAAGCTTCCTCCTGCACATCCTACCAGAAGAAATTCAAAGTACTCTAATTCTTTCAATGTAAACATATTTCATAGAAACTAGATCAAGCCATAAAAGTTTCGATGTGTGCTAAAAAAAAAAGTGATACAAAAGAGAACTGCAATTTGATTTGCATGCCATTTGGTGAAATAAATATTTGATCCCCTACACCCAGCCAAACTACTGGTTTCTATTGATTGACTGTGTGCACTAAGATTGCAATCAATCACAGATACTCCTAATCTCAACTCGTAATGTGCATAAAGCCCACCTGTCCACAGAATCAATGTCTTCCATTCAAACCTCTCCACCACCACTGCAGCTATCAAGGGAGATCAGGGAAAAGACTGTAGACCTGCACAAGACTGGAAGAAGCTTGGTGAGAAGATGGAAGAAATATCAAATGACCATGTGTGGAGCTCCATGAGAGCTCTTGCCTCATGGAGTGATGATAATCATGAGAAAGCTATTATCCCAAAACTACATGGGAGGAGTTTACTAATGATCTGAAGGCAGATGGGACTACCGTCACCAAGAACAGCACTGGTAACACACTACACCGTAACAGATTGAAATCTTGCACGTCCCCCTGATCAAGAAGGTCTTAAGCATGTCTCTGAACATCTAAATAATTCAGATAAGACCTGGAAGAAATTGTTGTGGTCAGATAAAAGCAACATCAAGCACGGGCATTAACTCAACCTGCCATGTTTGGAGGAAGTGAAATTCTGAGTATGACGCAAAGAACACCAACCCCAGGTAGAAACATTAAGCTTTGGGCTGTTTTTCTGTAAAGACAGGATGACATCACCGCATTGAGATGCCAAGGACAGGGGCATTTACACAAAATCTCTGGAATCTCTTTCCCTCAGCCATAACACTGAACAACACTGTGGATGGATCATCCACCATGACAATGACCCAAAACATACCGCCAAGGCAACAATGGAGTGGCTAAATAGGAAGCACATTAAGGCTACTGAGTGGCCTATCCAGCCTCCAGACCTTAATCCCAATAGAAACTCTATGGAAGGACCTGAAACTTTTAGTTCTCATACAACAGTCAAGAAACCTCTAAATCTCTAGAGGATTAGAGAGTTTCTGTAAAGAGAAGTGAGCCAAAATCTCTTCTGTGTGCAAACCTGTTGACCAATTACAAGAAAAAAAATTTCATGGATATTTGGATGATATTCTGTCTCTCTCCATTAAAATGAAACTACCATGAAAACAAGAGACTGTTCATCTCTTTGTAAGTGAGCCAATTTACAAATTCAAAAGGGAATTAAATTATTATTTCCTCCACTGTATAGCAAGTATATCCATACTATAAACTAAATGAAAATGTACTTTTCATTTTACCCATCGCTAGAGCACACTTCAACAACTGGACATGGAGCAGTTTAGTGCACAAGTCAACAAATGCAGCAAGTATTTCAACCAGCTTGAGAAGGGCCTGCCACGTAACAATATAGTTCCCTGTCTGAAGAACAAGGTGAACGTGATGATGCACAGAGTGGGTAGAAAAAAGTGTTATGAAATATCTGATATTTCTTGTGGCATAGATAATGTTGTCAGCAGTCTCTTTTTAAAATGATACCATATTACAATATGGGCTGAAAGTAATTCATTATTTTTGTGACTGCTCAAGTGTTATTTATGTGTTCTTTCTTTAGCTGCCTGTGATCGCTGATCTTCATTACCCATGTCTGAAACCAAAACATTGGAAGACCTTGGAGTCTTTGGTGGGGACTTCCCTCAATGTGGATAAACTTACCATAGCTGGTTTAGAGGAACTCAGTTTTTCATACGGCAAAGAGGATAAGGGTACTACTGACTGAGCACACAACACATCCTAACACCTAATAAAAGTTACAGATTGATTAGAGGTCCAAAATCATATTTATCGGCTCATCATTAAATTGCAACTAGAGTTATTAAAATGCAAACTCCTTAGGAAAAAAACAAAAACAAAAAACAACATCTAACACAATAAATAACTTTTAGGTTTCAGGACAAGCTTCAGAAGAGGCTTCAGTGGAGACCACATCTCAAAGGTATGTGGATTACATATAAATATTTATACAGATATTATATCTCAGTAAAAGTACTAAAATAAAAATGACACTTACATATCTCTCTATTTAATATTATATCCCTCATTTTATACCCAAATATGAGTCAAAGTCACTCCAATGTTACTTGATTTCAGAGAAATCAAAGATAATCTATTCGTGTAAAAGGAAAGACACAGTTAGCTACATGTGCTTAAGCATCAGTGTGACATCAGATCAGATTTGCTGGGTGTAGGTGTTGGGCGTGGCTCGACACGCCAGGGTGCGAGGGCCCTCTCAACACTGCTTGCAGCTTTAATTGTGTTTGTAACTCAGCTGTAATGCTGTAACTTCTAATATCTATGTTTCCAAACATATGGGCGAAGATCCAGCTGAATTTTCACCTCTTTAACACCTCTTACACCTTTGCACTTAAATCTTTGCAAAGACAGATTTTATGACCAACCACTGAGACTTCAGTACTAAACAAACAGGTAGTACAAGACAGTGTTACCAAGAAAGCACCTTTTCCTTCGTCTGTAATCGAATATTGAATTTTAATTTGATTTGCTGTACATCAGGTGCCGGCACCAAGTGCTGAAAATTACGCTGTTTTCAATTTAACATTTTCATCTGGGTAATTTATGTGGATGCTTGTGGCGTGCATGTCTGTGCATGTGTGCAGCCTAATTTGTTGCCTTGCTTGTATGACTGAATCCGCTCTGATGTGGAGGAGGAAGGACAAAGCTTGGGGGATAAGCTTCCCTTCTTCTCTGCTCCCCCCTCCCCCAGTTCTCCGTTTCTCTCAGCAGTGATGAGGTTTACAGTGGAGTTACAGTCAGCCCGTACGCAGCAGTGTTGATTGTGGTGGACAGGTCCAGTAAACATTGCCTGCGTGATGCTGAGTCAAGTAAATTGTCACTGTGGATGAGGAGCCAGGGCTTCACTCAAGCCGCACTTGTTGACAACCTCTATCTCTTTGCCCTCGAAGGCCGGCTGTGTAATTTAGGCTGGCAGGGCATCAATTAAGTTAGGCTGGCTGCAGAACACAGAGTGAGGGACAGAAGGGTGAGGATCGTTTGGGTGTGTTTGCTGGGAGTGTGTGCAGCAGAAGAATAGGGAAGTTGTGCAAGGTCGAAGGTGTGGTTGACATTTTTGGCGTGCATTCACAACCCATTAGGATCTGGTCTCACACCCAGCAAACGGTCAAGAATCGTGGTTTTTGAGATCAGTGCTAATAAAGTTGATAGGTTCTTATTTATTGTGGTCAATACTAAAACGGTGCTAACATGCAATTTAAAACATTTGTTGTTCCTGCTGTCTGTACTGCAAGTGGAGTGCACAACTTGATCTGCAACTAAGCAGTCTGCAAATTGAAGGATCACCACTTGATTTGAGCATTAAATTCAGTCAATTGTGCTGTCACTAAAATTGCATTCATTCTGTTTTATTTTTTTTCAGGAAATGATGGAGAGGAGAAACAACTTTTGGTGCGTGTGAGGGTGTGTGAGCGTTTTTCTGTTTTCATTTTATTTAAGGAAATTTAAAAATGTAAGCCAGACCTTAAATCCTGATCTTGCAAAGCACTCGATTCAAACACAAATAAACCTTGGTAATAACTTCTCTAATTCTCTGGATTATTGACACTGATTGTCAGCTTTACTGGCATAACAG